CTTCTTTCCTGTCCTCCTGGTTGGCTTCCCAGAGTTATGAAAGCCCCCAGCACGCCGTGCCATGCCCCGCCACCCCTCAGCCCCACTGGCTGATCTCAGCCTCCATCTCAGCCTGCACATGAATTCCCACTTGATGTGCTGAGCCCTGCCAAAGCAAAATTCCTGAAGCAGAATAAAAAATGTGGAAGACTTTCAAACCCAGAGATTATTGAACTGTCCCTCTTACCAAATGGCACTCAATACTATGCTCTTTATAAAGTCTCTAGTATAATGTTTAATTCGGTAACTACAATTGGAAAGTCTTTCCAATTATTTTAAACTGCCAGAGACATTTTAATGTGCCTCAGATTTTGTGTTGGCATGCCACAGTTAAGTGCCATGCATCTTTCAGAGAACTTTAAAGAAGAAGAAATATGGGAAAGAATCCCAAAGGACATACTTGTCCCACGAACCCCACCACCATTTATGTCCTCGCAGACACCTTCCCCTGTGTTTTGAAATTGTTTGCCTCCCTCTGTGCAGGGCGAGAGACCCGTGCAAACAGCCAAAATCTGTAATTCCTATGCAGAGCTTCAGCTGAAGGCAGGATTGTGAGCAGATCTTCTCTGGCAGCCACCCAGCCATGCGTTGTTGGGGGGTATTCACTCTCCAGATGCGTCCAAGCCTTTGCAACCGAGGATGTAAAAGGCTGAGAAAGCCCAAAGGTCTTCTGATTTCTTTTTTTTTTTTTTTTTTTTTCTTTTGCGCCAGGGCCACGAGGCTTCTTTCTCTGCCTTCTGGCTGCTGTCTGTCCCAAACCCACCCAAGCAGGCACCCCTCCCCACTGAGACCTGCCAGCAAGCGCTGCCGTGGATGTGAGGGAAGGGAGTGTGTAGCTCTGCTCCCTTGGTCAGTCTCACTCCAACCACCTGAGCATTCTTAAGTGGCAGAAGCCAACTCTCAGCACCCTTGTATTTTTTTTACCCCTTCTATTTGTCTGCTTTATCCCTTCTCCCTGAGCTCAGTGGCACGTGAGCACTGAGTGTGTGCTTCTCCTCACCCAGCCCGGGGGGAGAAGGGGCAGGGAGAATATCTTCTGCTCCCTTGGTCAGTCTCACTCCAACCACCTGAGCATTCTTAAGTGGCAGAAGCCAACTCTCAGCACCCTTGTATTTTTTTTACCCCTTCTATTTGTCTGCTTTATCCCTTCTCCCTGAGCTCAGTGGCACGTGAGCACTGAGTGTGTGCTTCTCCTCACCCAGCCCGGGGGGAGAAGGGGCAGGGAGAATATCTTCTGAATCCAGTTCTGCTCTATTAAGATTCATTGTGGTACGACAATGGCTTTTTCTATTGAAACGCTTTGTGAAAGCCTTGCCTAATGATCTGCTAGCTGGGGAAAGGTTAAATTCCTGGAAGATTTTCCGTGTTTGATGAAGAAAGAACAGTGCAATTATCCAGAATTCAAAGTGAGTTTTAGCCAGCTGTTAATAATACTGCGATTCTTCATGTTCTCATTACTCAGAAGTAATGTGGCCATCCCTAGTCATGGCAGTAAAATATTTATAGCATTCTCTTTTTGGCCCTGTTTGTACTTATGGAGGGCTGGACACCACTTGAGGTCATCTAAATGTGCTTCTTTTTGTGCTTTAGCCCCCCATGACAGTACTCTTCTCATCTAACCACAGCTGCCTGCAGCAGAGATGCCCAGTTTAAAGCAGTCACCTCAGGAGGGGTCAGACGTGGCCTTTAACCACTAACAGTTGGGCATCTCGTGCAAACTGGTCATCAAGGCTCTGCCAGAGCCACTGGAGAGACTTGGTGCTTCCAGATTCCCACCGTCCTTGGAGAGCTGCCAAGGATAAAGGAGATAAATGGGCTTGATACCTGATAGTCTTGATACCAAGAGCACCCACATTAACAACCTGGTTTGATGCAGAGGTCGGTTTATTAGTAGCTTTCTGCTCTTTGCTGCCTTGCTGCAGTCCACAGGTGGGTTTGTGTGCTGGGAGACCACTGGAAACCTACAGGAGCAACCCCCAGGCATCTGTGTGTTTCTCCTAATTCTTTCCCTGATCACTGAGGTTTCCAGCTTGGAAAGTCATGGCAAAACATGAAATACACGTGGCATCTCTTGTCCAGGCACAGGGAAACAAAATAAGTGTCATGGGGAAAATATAATTTCACAGTGGCAGGCCCTGCACTGGAATAAACAGACGGCTTGTTTCCTCCGATGGATGCATGGAAAATCAATTCCCAGTCCTCTGCAGAGGCTCCTAAACATGAACCAAATCCCCTCCTGTAGCACTTAAAAACTACAACTGTTTTGCACCAGCAAAAGGTTTCATTTCTAGCAGGAGAACTGCAGGTAACACCTTTTTGCTATCTTCATGCTGTCATTTAGGGGTTTATCTTATCCTCTTCATAGGAGTCTCATTTCAAGTGCAGCTTTTTGCCTGGAGGTCTGAAGTAAATAAGTATTAAGTGACTGTATCTGTCTCCAATTCACTAAACATCCAGAGAAAACAGCTAATGTGCCTGAACCAGTGGGATGAATACATTAGATTAATCTAATTCAGCTACTTTGCACTCAAAGAATCAGTAGCGTTTAGAAAAAGGTTGTCAAAGGGATTAGGAATTTCTTTCCAATTTCTTTCCATTTCTTTCATTTATCCTTTCTTCTCCTTTTCATGACTTTGCTGTGTTCCACTAAACGGTAGCTGTTCAGTTAGCTTATTTCCTTGACGCTCCTTAAAACATTGCTTTGAAAACAAGTTTATTCTTCTCAGACCTCAGAGCTGGCTCTGTATTTGCCGAGGCTTTCAGTGACCAGGAAAAGCGACGGAATAAACACAGAGGTCCAGGCTGTGAGCAGCTTATCCTGACTGGACCCAGCAGCTCCTGGCTGTCACTGTCTCACTGGCACCTTGGTCCAGCAGGGTGGGCACAGGGGGTCTCACAGCATCGCCCCTGGGCTCAGAGCCATTCCCCAAACCTCCGGATCCGGCAGCTCCTGGCTGTCGCTGTCTCACTGTCTCACTGGCACCAGCAGGGTGGGCACAGGGGGTCTCAGAGCATCACCCCTGGGCTCAGAGCCATTCCCCAAACCTGCGGTCGCCTCCTCTCCATCCCCTTCAGCCCACTCGGCCGTGGTGGTACATGCTGGCACCTTAGTGCCACGGCAAGCCTGATGTGTGTATCCTCTGCCCCTTCACACATGGAAACGTGTAAAGAGACCCCGAGCAGGATGCCTACACCCTTCAGTATAACAGCAAATTACCGTTAGCTGCTCTTGGTGAGTGTATTTCTCTGCAGCTCACTTTACATCACGGTTACCTCCCTTTCTGGAGAGAACATTGTGTGCAATCTTGTCAAAAGCCTTAAAAACCATTAAGGTATTAGACCTAAATGGCTGCTTTGCTGCCCGCAAGCCCTGCTCTCCTGTCAGTAGATTGCTTCAGTGTGATTTGTTCTTGACACATTCCTGTGGCTGTTGATCATCTCCTTATATTTTGTAAGTGCTGACAAGCAGCTTGATTATTTATCCAAGTATTTTTCTGGGACCTGAAGCTGGTCTGCCTACTCTGTAACTCCCCAGCGCCTCCTTCCCCTCTTCTGAAAGCAGAGCCCTTGGTCTGCCCTCTCCAGCCCCCTGGAACCTCCCCATCCCCAGTGGCTCCTCGCCATTAAGTGGATGCATCTCCGAGGCTGCTTCAGGAAGCTTTGCTGAGTGTCCTGGGATGCAGTTCAACAGGCAGGGATGATTGAAAACACCACAGTTATCTAATTACTTTCTATCAAAATCTCCTCTTGCTGTTGCGTGAGTTCTTATCCTGCTAACACTGGCATTAGCTTCATCAGACATTTGGGTGCACTTGAGTTTTTAGGGAAGATTGAAGCAAAAAAAAAAAAAAAAAAGTATTAAGTATTGTGGCTCTCCCAGCAGCACCCTGTGCTAATGTCGCTCCTCCCTGAATAGTGCATCAGCTCTTTCTTTGGTCTCTGCTTCTGCTGCTGGCTGGTCCCCCATGGCTCATCGAGGCCACAGCATGTCAGGGGAGGTGCCATCTGGGGAGCTTTGGGACCAGCAGGTAGGGCACGAATCCCACAAAGATGCCAGCACCCTCGGAGGACTCCCCCGGCAGCAGTGGTTGGCTGTGCTGTCACCAGGCAGGGACCCCTCCTCTCTCCCCAGAATCAGAATCACAATCACAGAATCACATGGGGTTGGAAGATCTCTGGAGATCATCCAGTCCAACCCCCTGCCAGAGCAGGGCCACCCAGAGCAGGTCCCACAGGAACGTGTCCAGGCGGGTTGTGGATGTCTCCAGAGAAAGAGACTCCACCACCTCTCTGGGCAGCCTCTGCCAGGGCTCTGCCACCCTCACAGCAAAGAAGTTCCTCCTCATGTTGAGGTGGAACTTCTTCTGTTCCAGTTTGTGCCCATTTTCTCTTGTCCTGTCCCTGGGCACCACTGAAAAAGACTGGCCCCAAGGTCAAGTGGCATGAAGCTCCTCTTGAGGAGCCTGGTGTGTGGTGCACACCTTGGAGGCTCTACCTGATTATTGCTGGGGCTTGGTTACTGCTCAGGGGTCTGTGGGAGCTGGGGGGGCTGGCAGCCCTGGGGGCTGGTGATCTCCTCCTCTGCTCCCCAGGCACTGCAGGGATCTGCTCTGAGAGAGACACAAGGCAGGATAAGCACAGAAAAGCCTCAACTTTCCTTGCCAAGAGCAGATGAAAAGAGATGTTATAAAGTCACTTGTCTCTGGTAACACGGCCCCTAGCTCTGACACGGTGGTGGAGGGCATCCAAGTTTCATGCTGGAAGGAGATAAGCCCACACTTGGAATCCTATCCCGGTTTCAAAGGTCAGGTGCATTTCTGTGGTTACAGATGTCGCGGGGATGGCATTTGACCCTGGCTCATCCTACACAGAAGCCAAGGTCTGATGGACAGCGGGAACATTTGAACCTCCCTGGAACGAGCTTTCATTTGAATTACAAGCTGTTTTTTGTTTCTTCCCAGCCAGGTCTCTAGACAAACTCTATAACTTTGCTGACTGCTCTGGCCTTCACCTGATCTTTGCACTGAATGCTTTGCGCCGAAACCCCAACAACTCCTGGAACAGCTCCAACGCTCTCAGCCTGCTGAAGTACAGCGCCAGCAAGAAGTACAACATCTCCTGGGAGCTGGGCAACGGTGAGTGTGGGAATGGGAGAGTCACAGGAACAGAGCTCGCTGTAGCAGAAAGGTATTCCCTTTTGGAAAAAGGATATTTGGGCCCCGGATATATATAAAAGGATATAAAAGGATATATATAAAAGGATATAAAGGGCCCCGGGATGTTTGGCCAATGTGTGTTCAGAGGGTTTTCAAGACCCCTGCTATACAAATCCCAGGCCCCGGGATGTTTGGCCAATGTGTGTTCAGAGGGTTTTCAAGACCCCTGCTATAAGGCAGCACCATCTCTAAGACAGACCTGGCACATGTTTGCACCTGAGCTGGATGTTTCCATCAGTTGTTATGACACACATGAAATGCTTTTGCCCTGGCTACTGGGTGTAACTGGTCCTGGGGTGGGCAGACCAACAGCTGTATGGACTTGTATGGTGGCTGCAGTGCCAGGGCGAGCGGGGGGCCCTACAGGGACAAGGGCATGACACCAAGCTGCAGGTCCTTCATCCAGCACACAGCAAAAGGGACGTGGGAGGTGATGCTGGCACAGGAGAACAAGAGATGGCCCTCACCAACACCTCTGAGGCTCCTTCTGCAGCTCGGCAGAGCAGGCAGGCAGCTCCACGGAGCTCAAGCTGTGCGACAGCCTGTGAGCTGCGTGTCTCTCTCCGGAAGCACGGATGAAGGAGCAGAGCTGGCAAGCCTTGCTTGTCTATTTTTATTTTCCCAGAGCCCAATAACTATCGGACCCTGATCGGCCGCTCGGTGAACGGCAGCCAGCTGGGGAAGGACTACATCCAGCTGAGAAGCCTGCTGCAGCTTATCCGCACTTACTCCAGAGCAAACCTCTATGGGCCAAACATTGGGAGGCCCAGAAAGAATGTCATCGCTCTCCTGGAAGGGTAAGTGATGTTGCTTTGATCAAGAAGAGATCAGAAACCCCTCCTGAGACTGATACCCTTTGCAGCAGGTAGACTTGCTCTTTGGCTTCTCAACGTCCAAGAGCTGCCAGGACAGAGAGGCTCTGTGCAGCTCGGCCGCCACCAGGGGCTTGGGGACATGGTCGTCTGTGCTGCTAAACTTCTGCAGAAGTCCCTGCTGGGATTTTGGGCTGGGCTGACTAACAGTCTCCCACGTATTCCCAGGATTTCTCAGTTACAGGCAGACTGATGGATGGTTTGGACGTGAAGGTAATGCAGTGATGCGGATGCAAGCTGCTGCCTGTGTGTGGGTTTCAGGGCCAGGAGGTGGGTCCTGGCACCACCTACCAGTGTAGATGCTGTCTCAGAGTCCACCTGGACAAATTGCTTTGCTCCTTCCCTTTGGTGGCTGCTTCTCTCTGCGTTTTCTCCGACTGTGCAGAGGAAGAACCTGTAGCAGCTTTGTTTGCTGGCCAAGCCCTCTGCTCCCTCCCAGGAGAACTGGCCTGTGTCTAGTTTGGGGAGGCCGGAGGTGGAGAAGGAATGGTGACAGTGAGGGACGCAGACACTTGGAGGTGACATTGGAGAGCTACAGGAACCAGGGAGGTGTGGGAGCCTGCTGGCAGCAGGAATTGGGACTGTGCAGCTCCAAGACCTTGCAGCAGAGGGGAAATTCCCTGCAGGACCATAAACAGAAACTCCAGTGCAGAGAGCTGGGCAGGGGGAGGTGTGGAAGGGACTCTGCTGGGAGCAAAGCTGGGTCTAGCCTTCATTAACATCTGCATGAATGATCTGGCAGAAACAATAAACAGCACACGGATGCGGTCCCCGGCGAGGCAGAGAGGGAGCCGGGGCCAGATTCTCAGCTCTGGCTGCGGCAGCGCAAAGAGACCATGAAGCTGGTGGGACCAGCTGCGACACCGGCATCTCCTCGGGCTGCCAGCGGTGGGGGAGCAGCCCCAGTGCCCACCCCATGGGCTGCAGCCAGTGCCACACGGGCACATCGCTCGCTGTGAGGGGGGGTTACAGAATGCTGTAGTAGCCTTGATCAGCAGGAGATCCATTAGCGCCGGGAGGAGCAGGCTGAATAAGGAAAACAACAGGGATGGGAGCCAAGAGGCTCTTGGAGAAAGGGAAGTCCTACTGCTGTGTTTGCCCTCCATGCACCACAGCTGGGTTGCCAGGAAGAGGGGTGGGAAGAGCCGAGATACATGGGCAGGATGGGCCGGCAGCTCTGCCCTGTTGGAGCCCTGCTCTGGCTGGTGGTGACCCCGGGAGTGAGGCTGTGGGGTACAGTCTGATGGGGAGGATGGGGAAAACACCATCTCAAATGAGAGGGAAGGCAGGTAGAGCTAGGGTTTGACCAACCCCGGTGGTGGGGTGGTGGGGGCTGCCCAGACCTCCAGGGGTCTGGAGAGTAGGTTTTATGAGGAGCGGCTGAGGGAGCTGGGGGTGTTCAGTCTGAAGAAGAGGAGGCTGAGGGGAGACCTTCTCGTGCTCTGTAACTACCTGAAGGGGGGTGTAGAGAAGTGGGGGTTGGTCTCATCTCCCAAGTCACAGGAGACAGGACAAGGGGAAATGGCCTCAAGTTGTGCCAGGGGAGGTTTAGATTGGAGATTAGGAAACATTTCGTCACAGAAAGGGTTATCCAGCATTGGAATGGGCTGCCCAGGGAAGTGGTTGAGGCACCATCCCTGGAGGTGTTCAAAAGACGGGTTGACATGGTCCTCAGGAATATGGTTTAGTGGTTTGGTTTTTTCTTATTTATTTTTTTTGTCAGAGTTCAGTTGATGGTTGGACTAGATGATCTTTAAGGTCCTTTCCAACATAGACGATTCTGTGATTCTACGATTCTATGATTCTATGATTGGTCTGAAGGAGCTGTAAGGAGCATGCCTGCTCTCCAAGCTGATTCTCTGCTGCCGTCCCTCCCTGCCACCGTGATGCTGGCCCACGGGCACTCAAAGTGGTTTCTCCATACCATAGAGAAACTGGGTGTCCTGCTCTCCAAACCCTGCCGTCTGCAGCAGGTGGCGAGTGGCACGTGCCTGAGTGGCCTCACAGCCCACGGGGTCCTGTGAAACAAGAGCTGCTTGTGTCTCCACATAAAGACCCCATTATTGCCAGGCGGGTTGTAGAGAGGAGGAACAAGTCTGATTACACAAAGACAAAGGGCTAAACGCTCATTTGCAGTATTTGGAAATGGAGTTGCCAAAGGACAAACAAATAAAGCCCAGTGCCTGAGCTGCCTGACAGCGTGAGCTTTATTCCCAGCAGCTCCCCGAGGTCTCTTCACTGCTCTGGGTTAGTGCTACCGAGAGCTCTGCCTTCTGCAGGAGCACTGCAGAACTGGGCAATGGGATGTGGCTGTCACGGCCAGGACGTGCCTCTTGGGAGGCCCACCCAGTCAGCAAACAAGAGAGAGGAGGAGGAATTTAGGAAGGTGCTCTCAATGGCAAGCCTGCTGTCTGCCTTGCTAGACCACCATGGGTGGTGGACGTAGTGCTCACGGTAAGATGAAGGCTGCAGAGCAAATAAAGTGTACACCGTCAACAGTCCTGAAGACATGAAATCTGCCAAGCTTTGATCTTATTTTAAAAAATGTGATGACCAGCAGAAGCCAACCAGGTAGGAAGAGGTATGCCAAGTGGAAGATTATGGCTCAGGTGTTAAGTAAGGCTGGAGGGGAGAGATGAGACACCCCAAGAGTAGAAGACAGGGTGGGCAGATCGGTCTGCCAGGCAAGGAGTGCTCTGTTAGACAGAGTGAGGAAGCAGGTTTTGGTGGGTGAAATAATGGAAATGAGCTGAAGTGGGAGAGGAGAGCTCAGAGAGGCCCAGGGAGTGTGATCTCTGACAGTAGAAGCTGGAGTTTGATTTTCTCCAAGGAAAGCCTCTGGAGTTACCTTGGGTGCTGAATCATTCAGTCTCATTGTGAAGTATTACCTAGAATTACATTTTCCTGTTGCGTGCTCTGTGTTCCAAACACTGTAGCCTATTGTTTAACAATTATCTCAAGCAACCAAGCTAAACTTATTCTTTATGTTTAAACATTTTCCTGCAATAATAGTAGTGTCAACATGAATTGGGCATTGTACTCTGCCATGCACCAGGCTCTGTCTCAGTGATGGGAGATGGACACCTCCAGGGCCATTCTGACCCAAACCTAGGGCCTGTCCTAAAGGACAGGGTGGGACTGAATCCCTCCTGGGCTACCACCTTTCTCCCACCTTGAACCTGGGACCTGGCAATCCCAGGCACAACTACAGGCTGGGTGGAGAATGGCTGGAGCGCAGCCCTGAGGAGAAGGACTTGGGAGTGCTCATGGATGAGAAGCTCAACATGAGCCGGCAGTGCACGCTGGCAGCCCAGAAACCAGCCCCATCCTGGGCTGCATCAAGAGAAGTGTGGCCAGCAGGGCCAGGGAGGGGATTCTACCCCTCTGCTCTGCTCTGGTGAGACCCCACCTGGAGTGCTGTGTCCAGCTCTGGAGTCCTCAGCACAGGAAGGACATGGACCTGTTGGAACGGGTCCAGGGGAGGGCCATGAAGATGACCAGAGGGCTGGAGCCCCTCTGCTGTGAAGACAGGCTGAGAGAGCTGGGGGTGTTCAGCCTGGAGAAGAGAAGGCTCCGGGGAGACCTTATAACGGCCTTCCAGTACCTGAAGGGGCTCCAGGAGAGATGGGGAGGGACTCTTGGTCAGGAAATGGAGCCACAGGACAAGGGGTAACAGTTCTAAATTGGAAGAGGGGAGATTTAGATGAGATACTAGAAAGAACTTCTTTGCTGTGAGGGTGGTGAGAGCCTGGCCCAGGTTGCCCAGAGAAGCTGTGGCTGCCCCATCCCTGGAGGGGTTCAAGGCCAGGCTGGATGGGGCTTGGAGCAACCTGGTCTGGTGGGAGGTGTCTGTGCCCAGGGCAGGGGGGTTGGAACTGGATGGTCTTTAAGGTCCCTTCCAGCTCTGACCATTCTATGACTCTGGGCTCTGCTGGACAGGCCAGATGATGAGCGCAGATCAGGCACCTGAAGGTTTGGAGCATGTAGGGGGGTGCGCACGCTGTCCCACTGCAAAGGCTGTCCTTAGGCAGGTGACACCGAGCTGTGCTGGGTGAAACCTCCACACTTTCTGATGCTGGAGGCAGGCTATGGTAAGGCTGCTGAAAGGCAGCAGCGTGGGCTTTGCACACCCTTCACTGCCAACTGCCTGCTCCTGAGCTCTGGCACCACCCTGCCATAGAGAGTGTCCCTTTCACTCTGGGCTGGCAAGTCCTGGAGTCTGGAGCAGGACCTCTCCTGCTGATGTTGGGATGAGCTCCACAGTGAGGGAGCATTGCTCCCATGCCTGGGGCCTGCTGTGCGGGAGGCTGGAAACGGAGTCTTGTGAATGCACAGGTGCAAGAGGGAATTTCTCCAGGCACAACCAACAGTTGAGTTTGATGAGGTGTTAATTAGACCATTCATGCAGCCTGAGCTGTTGGAGAGCAGACCATGTTAGCTACCTACTGCGTCTGTGGGTACAGGAATCCCAGAACTGCTTAGAATTGGCTTGGGGAAAAAATTGAGAGATTCTAAGGAATTAACGTAGGTTTTAACAGCAGATCAGGAATCAGACACAAAGGTTAATGCATGGCTGAATCACACACTCGGTGCTGGAAGAGAAGAAACACGAGGGAAAGCTATTAGGAAGAAGAGACACTAACGTGTGTTAAAACTCAAAACATTTGGTACAAAGCTTGGGCCAGCACATCTGGGCAGATTTGGTTAGGGGCTCTCATGACCTGTTGTTCCTCAGCTGGGGTAGCCTAGTTTTTGCCACTGGAACCTCACAAGTATCAGGGTGTTACCTCCACCACAGCAGGAGCTGCAGTGCCTGGGGGATAAGGGCTGGCAGACACTTGTGTCACACCAGGCTGGCTCTTGCTGATGCTCTTTGGCCACTTTGGGTCCTGAGCCTGCTGAAGCCACCAGAGAAGTGAAAATCT